TTGTAGGAGAAATAACACAGGGAAATACATGTAGGAGAAATAACACAGGGAGATACTTGTAGGAGAACTAACACAGAGAGATACTTGTAGGAGAAATAACAGAGGGAGATACGTGTAGGAGAACTAACACAGAGATACATTTGGAGAACTAACACAGAGATACATGTAGGAGAACTAACACAGAGAGATACATTTGGAGAACTAACAGAGAGAGATACATTTGGAGAACTAACACAGAGATACATTAGGATAACTAACACAGAGATACATGTAGGAGAACTAGCACAGAGATACATTTGGAGAACTAACAGAGGGAGATAGATGGAGGAGAACTAACACAGAGATACATTTGAAGAACTAACACAGAGATACATTTGGACAACTAACACAGAGATACATTTGGAGAACTAACACAGAGATACATTTGGAGAAATAACACAGAGATACATGTAGGAGAACTCACACAAGGAGATACATGTAGGAGAACTAACACAGAGACACATTTGGAGAACTAACACAGAGATACTTGTAGGAGAACCAACACAGAGATATACTTGTAAGAGAAATAACACAGGGAGATACATGTAGGAGAAATAACACAGGGAGATACTTGTAGGAGAACTAACACAGAGAGATACTTGTAGGAGAAATAACACAGGGAGATATGTGTAGGAGAACTAACACAGAGAGATACAGTTGGAGAACCAACACAGAGAGATACATTTGGAGATCTAACACAGATATACATTTGGAGAACTAACACAGAGATACTTGTAGGAGAACTAACACAGAGATACATTTGGAGAACTAACACAGAGATACATGTTGAGGAACTAACATAGAGAGAGACATGTATGAGAACTAACACAGAAAGATACATGTAGGAGAACTAACACAGGGAGATACATGTAGGAGAAATAAGACAGGGACATACGTGTAGGAGAACTAACACAGAGATACATGTAGGAGAACTAACACAGAAAGATACTTGTAGGAGAATTAACACAGAGATACTTGTAGGAGAACTAACACAGAAAGATACATTTGGAGGACTAACACAGGGAGATACATGTAGGAGAACTAACACAGAGATACATTTGGAGAACTAACACAGAGATACTTGTAGGAGAACTAACACAGAAAGATACATGTAGGAGGAATAACACAGGGAGATACATGTAGGAGAACTAACACAGAGATACATTTGGAGAACTAACACAGAAATACATGTTGGAGAACTAACCCAGGGAGATACATGTAGGAGAAATAACACAGGGAGATACGTGTAGGAGAAATAACACAGGGAGATACTTGTAGGAGAAATAACACAGGGAGATACTTGTAGGAGATATAACACAGGGAGATTCTTGTAGGAGAACTAACACAGAAAGATACATGTAGGCGAACGAACACAGGGAGATACAATTGGAGAACTAACACAGATATACATGTAGGATAACTAACACATAGAGATACATGTAGGAGAAATAACACAGAGAGATACGGGTAGGAGAAATAACACAGGGAGATACTTGTAGGAGAAATAACACAGGGAGATACTTGGAGAAATAACAGAGAGATACTTGTAGGAGAACTAACACAGAGATACATTTGGAGAACTAACACAGAGATACATGTTGAGGAACTAACATAGAGAGAGACTTGTAGGAGAACTAACACAGATATACATTTGGAGAACTAACACAGAGATACTTGTAGGAGAACTAACACAGAGATACATTTGGAGAACTAACACAGAGATACATGTTGAGGAACTAACATAGAGAGAGACATGTATGAGAACTAACACAGAAAGATACATGTAGGAGAACTAACACAGGGAGATACATGTAGGAGAAATAAGACAGGGACATACGTGTAGGAGAACTAACACAGAGATACATGTAGGAGAACTAACACAGAAAGATACATGTAGGAGAATTAACACAGAGATACTTGTAGGAGAACTAACACAGAAAGATACATTTGGAGGACTAACACAGGGAGATACATGTAGGAGAACTAACACAGAGATACATTTGGAGAACTAACACAGAGATACTTGTAGGAGAACTAACACAGAAAGATACATGTAGGAGGACTAACACAGGGAGATACATGTAGGAGAACTAACACAGAGATACATTTGGAGAACTAACACAGAAATACATGTTGGAGAACTAACCCAGGGAGATACATGTAGGAGAAATAACACAGGGAGATACGTGTAGGAGAAATAACACAGGGAGATACTTGTAGGAGAAATAACACAGGGAGATACTTGTAGGAGATATAACACAGGGAGATACTTGTAGGAGAACTAACACAGAGATACATGTTGGAGAACTAACCCAGGGAGATACATGTAGGAGAAATAACACAGGGAGATACGTGTAGGAGAAATAACACAGGGAGATACATGTAGGAGAAATAACACAGGGAGATACGTGTAGGAGAAATAACACAGGGAGATACATGTAGGAGAAATAACACAGGGAGATACTTGTAGGAGATATAACACAGGGAGATACTTGTAGGAGAAATAACACAGGGAGATACTTGTAGGAGATATAACACAGGGAGATACTTGTAGGAGATATAACACAGGGAGATATGTGTAGGAGAACTAACACAGAAAGATACATGTAGGAGAACTAACACAGGGAGATACATTTGGAGAACTAACACAGATATACGTGTAGGAGAACTAACACAGAGAGAAATAACACAGGGAGATACTTGTAGGAGAAATAACACAGGGAGATACTTGTAGAAATAACACAGAGATACATGTAGGAGAACTAACACAGAGAGATACGTTTGGAGAACTGACACAGAGATAAATGTAGGAGAACTAACACAGAGATACATGTAGGAGAACTAACACAGAAAGATACATGTAGGAGAATTAACACACAGAGATACATGTAGGAGAACTAACACAGGGAGATACATGTAGAAGAACTAACACAGAGATACATGTAGGAGAAATAACACAGGGAGATACTTGTAGTAGAACTAACAGAGAGATACATTTGGAGAACTAACACAGTAAGATATATGTAGGAGAACTAATACGGGGAGATACGTGTAGGAGAAATAACACAGAGATACCTGTAGGAGAACTAACACAGAGATACATGTAGGAGAAATAACACAGGTAGATACATGTAGGAAAAATAACACAGGGAGAAACGTGTAGGAGAACTAACACAGAGATACATGTAGGAGAACTAACACAGAGAGATACATTTGGTGAACTAACACAGAGAGATACATTTGGAGAACTAACACAGGGAGATACATGTAGGAGAACTAACAGAGGGAGATACATGTAGGAGAAATAACACAGGGAGATACGTGTAGGAGAACTAACACAGAGATACACTACTGCCTAGAAGTTCATTCCCCTTACAGGTATGGGCAACGCGTTACGCAACCCGTGTGCACCCCGTTGGTCACCCGTGTGGAACCCGTACGCCACGCGTGTGATACCCGTGTGCAACGCGTGTCACACTCATTAGAGGGGGAACAAACTTTTGACCAAAGGAGGACCCATGGGCATGTCTACCTGAACCTGGACGTGGTAACAAGGAGATGACTTTTTGATTTCCTGACGAAAAATGTTAATACACATTTTATTATATGTACTTGCTGATGTTTCATTTTTAGATGTGATTACATGGTGTCTTGCGATGGTGTTAAGAGAATACATGATCCTGTTATATGTTATTGCTATTCAAATGCTTTTTTTGTGATTTGACATTAAGCGTCTGCAGTACATGTACGACTTTCAGTGATCATGTTTATGAGGTTTGGTGGGGCATTGTTTTTATTGGACCCTAATTACTTTATGATGGTTGGGCCTCTTCGTCTCAGCTCCATAGCCGTGACGCTGGGAAAGGGCAGCATTTAATTAATGAGAGTAGAATATATCCTGGAGGATACACTTGAGGGAGAGGGCTATACTAATTACCGTACCACAGGAAGAGACCTGTAGACGTGAGCACGGGGTTGTGTGTAAGATGGCCGTCGCATAATGGCCGCCAGGAGTGGTAAACATTGAGCTAAAGCAGTGTTGTTTTCAAGGGCCTGTTGAATAAATTTCCAGCGCTGCTGTCCATATATCTTCTACTTGATCCTGGATACATCATTTTGGCATTTACATTATAATATTTTTCAACGTACATTAATGGTTTATTAGTCATAGATTTTAGAGTATTTGTCAATTGTGGTGAACGTACAAGCAATAATTGTAATTTGTGGTGACATCTAAATTTAAACGTCTCATTTAAAACAATAAGTAAGTACGATAGTAAATAATAATATTCAAATCGCATTAAACTACAATGAGACATCATCTGAATATGACTATATATGCAAATGTTACGAAACTGTACCTATCTTCACGAATTATTAAAAAATGGGCATAAAGTTCACGGAGACGAAGGCTATAGATACAATACCATATTTTATTTTTTAGATGATAAAGTACATCATTTGATAATGAATTCAGTTATTGATATCTAAAAACCGATTTTCCATATTAATAAACATTTCATGATAAAAAAACAATCAAATGTGTGATATAAATTCATTCTTTAGTATCCATAAATGAATTATTGATATCATACAACGAATAAATAGTAAAAAGGCGCCCTATATATTGTTCTTTGTGGACTGTATTAAGTAACGCATTTGCATCACGGTTATAATGTTAATTGCTAGTCTTTTTTCTGCACCATCATTTCTTTCATCTTATGAAAAAATGTTTAAAAAATGGCAACTTATAATTAACTTATATATAGCACTGGTATAAATAAATAGTACACACACTAATTTAATGTCACAACTGGCCTCACTCTGTCACATACAGCACTAAAACTACTATATTTCAAGTCTCTTAACCAAGTTTGAGAAGATAACCAACAGCATCAAGGAACTCGATAGGGGTTTTCTGTCCTTGAGTCAACGTGTCCTCAAGACGTCTCAGGCGATTTTCAGTCTCTCTGTAAACTCGCTTCCTGCTGGGTGGGGCGGCACCAAAGTCTAACTGTTTTTGTCCTGTCTGCACACTCAATCTTCTTAATCACTTCTACAAATCGGTAGATATTCGGGTGGCGGTGGGGTAAGGTTCTGTTAAAGCCATGGTGAAATCCCTCAAGATTGTTGTTGGTGCGAGGGCCGGCTGTCTGGTGGTGATTCAAGAGAGGTATTGGAAACCGATCATCATCGTCAATTGATGACCATATAGTTGATGACCATATAGTCATTGCAGTCTTCAATTCTCGGAACTGGTGGAGTTGCCTGCTTAGCATCCAACCAGGTGTCCTGGACATCACGCAAGGGCAGGAGGGCAAGTCCAGCAGCTCTTCTGATCCAGGATCTTCCTTGTACTGTACTGCTAATCCAAGATCCTGTGTCTTCCGCCAGATCGCCTGACAATAATGAAAAAAACAACCTTTGACGTCGGCATTCGGGAACTCTGTGTTGACGGCACGAATGGCAGCCTTCTCAAAATCCGTCTGGACAGTGGCAGGAGCGAGGGGACGGTTGAATCTCTGTTGGACTTCTGTTTTGAGTCGGCTGAACAGTCTGGTGTAAGTTGTGGTCTGTCTGTCAGGCAGGAGGGCGAAGACAAGCGGGCACATACAGGAACGACTTCTTGCATGTATGATGTATACCTGGTTCCACAGATCTGGGCAAGATGTAAATGTTCCGTCCATGTATACAATGTCTGCAGACTGCAAAGCTTGGAGTTGGTCATGGGTAGAAAATACAACAATCTTGTTGGCATCGCAATCAGTGAAAAGCAGGAATGGGCGGTTGTCTGTTGTTTCAGTCCAGTTTCCTTCAAGTTGGACTTCAGCTCTTGTCTGTGGGAGTGCTGGGTTGTGACGTGGTTTGGTGGCGTGCGGTGTGGGCTTGTTGTTGGCGCCGGCTGGCTTAACGACTCTATTGAGTTAGTGTATGGTTAACTGGGGTTATAGGCACGGACGTCGGAGAGGGCGACTCGTGTTGGAAATTTCGATCCCTATCCGAAAGTTGGGGTGTTTGTTTACTAGGGCATAGTTGTTGTATAGATTTGTTTGGGAGGTTCTAAATTCGGTCTATAAGGTCGGCTTTGATGATGAATTGCGTTATTGCATTGAAGATGTAGATAGGGTTGGAAGGGTTGAAAAGTAGTGTGAGGTTTTGTTTATAGTTAGGAGGGATAGCGTGATAAAGTTCGGAGTGAAGGGTGTTATAGAAAGGACAGCTGTTAAAAATATGATATAAGTCTTCTGGTTGATTACAATATGTACATTTCCCGTCCGGGTGTCTGCCTTGTTTGTGTAGATTGTGGTTGAGGTTGGTATTTCCGCTGATGATTCTTGATATAATATTGTCCAAATGGTTAGAGCTGTTATAGTTGCGACATTTGAGAGTGTATTACGTAAAAAGTGTGTTGAGCCATTGCGAGTTAGTGTTTTGGATTATATTGTGGTAGTTTTGAAGTTTTATAGACTTTTTAAATTTGTTCTTGATCTCCGCTTTGGAGGTATGGAAATAGATTTCTAATGAGGGCTGTTGGGTGGCTATATTGGCTGCGATGTGTGCTGTGTTATTGCCTGGTATATTTGTGTGTCCCGGGGCCCAGAGTAGACTGATTTGTTTGTTGTTGTTGTTAAGTTGGTTGATGAGAGTAATGTTGTTGATGTTAGTGAGTCTGATAGTGAGTCTGATATTATTAAAAAAAATTGTTTTGATAGCGTGTATTGCTGTAAGGATATGGCTAATAGTTCCCCTGTGTTATTGTTAGTGAAGTTTTTATAGTGAAAGTTTGTGGTGACGGGGGGGGGGGGGGGGGGGGGGTTGTTTGTCTATGTGTATTCCTAGTCCGGTTTTTCCATTGGTTTGGGATGCGTCGGTGTAAATGTAAGTGTGTGTCGGCCAGTTATTGTGGAGGTGTCTAAGGGTTGCTTCGGCCTTTTTTGCAGTTGGGGTGCCGGAGCTTTGTATGAAAAGTTCGTGGAGCGTTGTGTCAACTGGGGGGGATGGGAGGTCGGCTATGTATTGTAGGGAGGGGTGTTTGTGTGATATATTGCTTAGATTGTGGGTGTGTATTAGCTTGTGTAGGTGGGTCATGTATGGGGCTTGGTCAGGGGATTTATTGAATTTGAATGCCGTTTGTTTGTTAATGTTGTTATATTTTTGTTTGAGTATTTTAAAGATTGGATTGTGTTGTGCCCCAGCCCAGTAGTTGAGGATTGTCTGTTGTATTCTGTGTGTGATGGAAAGAGTGTTGGTCATGAGTATGGCGTGGTGTGAGGTACCAGTCCTGGTGCCGGTAGCTATTTTGAGGGCCTTATATTAAATTGATTTTATTTTGTTGTAGTTAGTAGTTGAAATGCCGCTTAGGACCGGAGCGGCGTAGTCGATTTTGGATTGAATAAGTGTTTTGTAGATGTTGAGGAGGATTTGTTTGTCAGACCCCCAATTGTTACCTTTAATAGCTCTCATTAAGTTTAAATCTTTTTCACAAGAGTTGACCAATTTTGATATATGGGGGCCCATGTAAGGTGTCGGTCAAATGTAAACCCTAGGAACTTAGCTTCTTTTTGGTATGTAATTTCTTTGTCATTAAGGTGAAGTTTGGGTGTGTAATTTATTCGTACATTGTTTTTTGATGAGCATGCCAATGGTCTTTTTGGTGTTGATTTGGAATCCCCAGTTGGAAGCCTATTTTTTTTTATTGTTTAAAGCAGATTGCATTCTGGTTTTTAATAAATTGATGGAGGCCGAGGAGGTCCAAAGATAAACGTCATCTGCGAATTTTGCTGTGGTATTTTTTTCTTTATTTTTGGAATCTGAGAAGATGTCATTTATCATAAACTTGAATAGTGTTGGCGATAAGATGCTTCCTTGTGGAGTACCGTTTTCAATGGGGTGTGTGTCGGATAGGGTTTGATGGGATTTAACGGTGATGTGTCTGTCTGTTAGGAAAGAGTGAATGAAGTTTAGTATTCTCCCATTGATATGATTATTTTCGAGTTTAAGGAGGCCGTTATGCCAAACCATGTCGAAAGCTTTGCTGAAATCTATAAAGATGGCCAGGGTGTATTGTTTCATTGATTGCGCAGTCCTAATGTCTTGTTCTAGGTGTAGAATGTGGTCTAATGTTTGTCTGTTATTTGTGAAGCCGCTCTGGTCCGGGCTTATTAGTCTGTTTATAGAGATGTGATGCTTAAGTCTATTATTGATAATTGATTCAAGGATTTTGCATATATGGAAGGTTAGAGATATGGGGCGGAAGGAGTCTGGGTCGTTGGGGGGTTTGCCCGGCTTCAGGACTGGAATGATTTTTGCGTGTTTCCAGGTTTGTGGTGTTGTGCCTGTTGACCATATTTGGTTGTGGGGTTGTAGTAATAATTGTTGTATTTGAGGTGTGATTTTATGTAGTATTATGTAACGTACGTTATCGAGTCCTGTGGCTGCGGCTGTGTTTTTGTTATGAAGTGCATGTTAGAAGTTCATGTATATTAATGGTTTTATTGATGGGTAGATGGGCTAAGTCGGGGGGCGCTTTACGTAGGGGTGGGGTGGGGGGTGGGGGTGCTTTTTTATTGTATCTTGGAATGGGGGGGGGGGGGGGGAGGGGGGTAATTGGCGGTGCTGCTGGTCTTGGCAAAGTTGATAGCTATATGATTGGCTTTATCTTTATTGGATGGGCAGTTTTTGAAGTTGGGTTGGACTGATTTTCGAAATGTCCCTTTTAGTCATTTAAGTTTGTTCCATATTTTTCTTGAATTAGTTTCGCCAATTTTTGGGGTATTGCAGAAGAGCTGCCAGTGTTTTTTCCTGGCCGTTTTAATAAGCTGTTTAGTATGGTTTCTGAGATGAATGAAACCAGGGTTTTTTTCTTTTCTCCCGTTTACTTCTATTTAGGGCTCTTTTTCTTAATTTTCTAGAGTTTTGGATGTCGTCGTTCCACCAGGGGACTGGGTTGTGGGAAGGGGCGGGTTTGGTTGTGGGTATGCATTGGCTTGCGATATCGAATAGTGTGTTGGTAAGGTTGGTGTTGAATGTGTCTATGTTGCTGTTTTGTATTTTGGGGGGGTCGGTTTGGTTGCATAGTTTTGTAAAGAGTTGCCAATTGGCTTTTTGAAAATTGAATTTTATTTGCTGGGTGGTTTCTAAAGGGGGTTCGTTAGTGGGTGAAGGGGGATTTAGAGAGAATTTGGTTTGTCAAATGTCATCATGATGGACTCTAGTTATATACTATAGTGTTAATCCACAACAAATTGAGTAAACCCAATTTAAGGTTCAAACTACTAGTTGCTTTTCCTGCATACACATGAAACCTTTTGATCTTAAACAGTGTATAATTGTGATTTCCTGAACCAGTTAATTTCATTAAAAGTGACGGGTCTTTTTTATTATAATCTTCTTTATCTACAAATAAGTTGTTTTCATTAGGTACATCTGTAACTATTTAATCTTCACAAAGTACCCTTCCTTGCCTTTCAACATCGAAAAGAAGCTAATGAGTCTTCTTAATTAAAGGAGGACTAAACCATTATAACAATGGGTAAACTCAATCAGCCATGACAACTCTCTGTAGATGTTTTGGCATGTAGACGTTTTGGCATGTAGAAGTTTTGGGAGTGAACCGTGACAATAGCTCAATTTAATTCAACTTGTGTGTCGCTCTCGCGTTAGATTTGCTAACGAGCCAATTTAGGTCGGATTTAGTGCACAATGCGTTTAAGCTCCCATGTCTAATCCTTATGAAAACACATTAAGGGTTTAAAACAACACAGTAATCCATATCATGTTTCACATCACCACGAAATATGACACATAAATAAGATATATTTCTTCTTTTAATAACAAAATAAGATAATATAAAGTTTTGTCACTCTCGTTTTATTCACAAAACACACCATCAACAATGTCACAACAATGTATCATTTTACTTTACTCCAAGTGAAGCGATGGTCGGCATACTCCATTCTGGATACGGCACCATCCATCAGTCGTGCTCAAGTTGTTAGTTCTTGGACCGTCGTTGCCGAAGTGGTTCGAAAGATGTCGCCAGTTGTCTCCAGTGGATTTACCAAGGACCTTCAGTCGAAACACGTGCAGGACATGTCTTTTAAGACACAGCCAAGACTGCCACGTGTCTCTCTTCTTATTGGAACGGAACATAAATCCATGAAAACAAGGAATCCTACCTCCACGATGGGATGGTATGAATTTGATGTCAACTTGAGCGTTTGCCATTTTGAAAGTAACTTCTCGCTTTTTAGTAATGCTCATTTAATTAATTAAGATTGACACTGATTGAACATGCTACTATGATTGGCATGATTACCAAATCATAATTATTTACTGAGATGTGGTCATGGAGAACATACTAATCCTATGTTAAAACATACTATTCCTTTACGTAAACAGATTAAAACTTCAAAGCGTTACCGCATGTCGCTGACAAATAAGTCAGGTGTGACAGTTATCACATATAAAGATTTGATATATGCCGACTGACACTCTTGGTGGGTCAGTGTTAAGACAACAGATCAATACGTATACACACGCTTCCTATTCAGTATGTACGTATGATTACATGGCTGTGTGTATGCATGGTATGTATGGCTGTATGTATGAT